ACTCCGAGAAGGCCTCAATCCAGACGAGAGCTCAAAGGTCTTGAACGAGAATGTGATGCTTCACAAAATGGTGTGGCTGTGGCTATGTGCAGAAGCAGCAAGGGAGAATGTGTACGGAAAGGGGGGTCAGCATCGGGTTGGGTTTTGCCTTGAGTACCCCGAGGACCCACACAACTATATGCCCGAGGGAGAACATCGAGCCGCGTGTGTGTCTGTGTGGAGGACGGAGTTCATGAAGGACCTCATCAAGGAGACGGGCTTATGCAAGTTCCACTTTGAGAAGGGTGCCTTGGGACACATGTTAAGGAGACCTACTTGCTGCCTTAGCAATTTGGGACTGGGAGTACATGGGCTCAAGGACCAAAGGGCCTATGTGGCAGCCGATATCAAGGAGTCGGACCAGTCTGTTTGGCCACATGGTTTTCGGATCACCTTAGCAGACGCGATCCACGAGTGGAGAGGTGGTGAAAGAGCTGTTATGGTGAAGAAAGCCATGTCCCAGAAGGAGCTAGACGAGCGGAAGGCCCATGTGGAACGTGGACACTGGCCTTACAGACGTGATTGTTCGGTCTGTCTGCCGGCCTCTCGTACAGGAAGACCGGCGAGGAGGGTGGTTCACAGAGACGCCTACGTGATGAGCCTGGACATAGCAGGACCGTTTGCAGACAGAGGCAAAGATGAGGTCAGAGGAAAGAAGTACCGTTTTGTGCTGGCGGCGACCTACCTTTACCCGAAGATGCGGGACGTTCCGGAGGATATCCCCATCCCGAACGAGGAGGAGGCGGAAGATTTCCTGAGGGAGGAGGAAAAGGAGCCCGAAGCACTGGAGCCTCCTGAAGATCCGGAGTGTGAGGCACAGGAGGAGGAATGGAAAAAGAAGGTCGCGGATCTAAAGCCGATTGAGTTGCAGATGCTTCGGTTTTGCGTTCCGTTGGAGAGGCACACTGGCAAGGAGATCCTCGAGTGCATCCAGGACTTGTACGTTCAGCTGAGGGCCATGGGCTTGCCGTTGACGAGGATCCATAGTGACAGGGCTCGGGAATTTCCGGTCAAGCCAGTGCGAAAATGGTGTCGAGAACGAGATATCTACCAGACGTTCACAGAGGGGCTGGCGCCTACACAGAATGCGGTGGCGGAGAGCCATGTGAAGTGGCTAAAAGGAAGGGCGCGAGTTCACCTCAACGAGATGGAGCTGGACAAGGAGCTTTGGCCGTGTGCGATGAAGCATGCTTGTGCGCAACACAACGCAAGGCAGATGGGCACGAAAACCGCGAACATCAAGTTTGGTTCCGTTGTTTGGGTGAAGTCCAAGAGAGACCAGGACCGTTCGATCCAAAGTGGGAGCGGGGCAAGTATATGGGACCAGCAGATGATGTTCGTGAGGGACATGTGGTTCGTCTGGATGATGGTCTGTGGTTACGCACTTTGCATATGAGGACGGTGAGGGACGATGAGATGGAACTAGAGGAAGAAGAGCACATCGTGGACCTCATCGAACCTACAAGGCGTTTGCGAGGGAAGGTCAAGTTGAGTGATCCTGAGCTGCGGGCCATTCGAAAGCAAGAAAGAAGAGCTTTGGTGGCTGAGCTGCTGGAGTCCAAGATTTGGGACTCGCCCCAGGCCAGAGTGGAGCGACCTCAGATGAAGGAGGGGGAAGTCTGGGATGGCGCTGCATACATTAACCTGGGTGCATACCAACATGGAGGGATTACTAGCATCACCAAGGCGACGGAGAAGTTCAACAAGGAAGCGATATTGGCCGCAAAGCTCCTGACGCTTGATCACCCGGGATCGTCGTTTACATCAGTGGCCTTGGTAAGGAATGCGGTGATGCCAGTGCACCGTGACTCTTTCAACCACAAGAAGGCGTTGAACTTGATATCACCCCTCAAGGTCGCAAAGGGAAGCTGTGTTTGGCAAGAGCTAAAGGAGGGGGATGAGTTCAAGGGGAACTACTGTTCGATGTGGGTGAATGAGAGGGAAGTGCCGGGTCAAAAGATGAGCGTGGAAGTGCCGACCAAGATTCGCCCAGATCGTCTGCATGCCCCACTTCGTGGAGAAGACGGAGACCGGATTGTGGTGATAGGCTACACGGTGAGCAAGTGGGAGAAACTACGGCAGTTCCAGTGTGACGACTTAGAAGAGCTGGGCTTCGTTTTACCGGAACGCGAGCCAGTGGTGAAGATGATGAATGCTGGTGGGAGGAGGAGGCCACCCACGCCACCGATTCCGGAGGGGGAGTGTGAAGTAACAGGTCCACCAACTGGGACGACAGCAGTTCCGCTGACCGGAACCACAAACACAGTGATGACTTCAGGTGCGAGTTTCTTGGGACCGGGATCGTCAAGCGAGTCGACGCTGCCGAGGCCGGCGTCAGAAGACCGAATGGATGTGAGCTCGGGAACCCCAGCACCTCATACACTACAATCTTCTTCATCGGGGTCGAGGTCAGGGCAACGAGAGCACTTTCCTGAGAGGGAGGCGAGCGCTTGGACAGTACGGTGGTCCCCCGGGGCCGTGTGGAGCTTCGGTTGAAATGGGCCATTAAGTACGTCCCGGACCTCTCTACCCAAGGGGAGGAAGTCGTGATGACATCAACTCCTTTGTTGCCTTTGGTGCATGATGAGGAGGAGCGGATGAGAAGCAGGGTGACCTGGTTGTCCGAGTTTGTGGAGGGAGAGCGGAAGATCAAGGCAAGACAGGCTGAAAGAGGGGAATATGCTACACAGCGAGAACGACAGCTTTTCTACAAGCTTGATGATGCCATCGACTACATGAACGAGATCCTCTGCTTGAGCCACCAGGCGAGGGAGCAGGCGTCCATGAGCATGATGAAGTTGGTGCAAGAGACCCAGCCGACTCCTGAAGTCGAAGAGATGTTACAAGGCCTGGTTGAGCCGATTGACACTGTGCATGGAGTTGAACTACAGGAAGTCAAGCGTCACTTGACAGAATGGCAGGAGAGCATTCAGAAGGAGATCGAGGTCCTTGAAACGTCTGGCACGCTACGCCGAATACCGCTGCTGGAAGCCAAACGCCTAGCAGAGGCTGGGGAGATTGTCCTAGTACCGTCCAAAACGGTGCATACAGTGAAACCCCCTTCCGGGGGAAGCAACAACCAGTTATACAAGAGAAAAACCAGAATGGTGATATGTGGCAATCACGTCAGCAGCGAGGTCGAAGTCTACACCGCCGCGGCCAACGCGGAATCAGTGCGAGTGGCATTGTCATTGGCTGCTCGACGGCGGTGGGCCGGAGCAGTGACAGACGTGAATAGCGCTTTTACGCTAGCACCAATGGATGAAGCAGAGATCAAGTACGGCATCAATGTACCGAAAGTCGTTGTGGAAGCTGGAGTGGTTCCACCAAACACGGCGTACTTGGTGGACAGGGTGTTCTACGGGTTGCGAGAGGCACCAAGGCTATGGGGAAGCTTCAGAGACAAAAGGGTGCACGGGGCTCGATTGCTTGTGGAGGGCCGGGAGTGCATGTTCCTACAGATGGAGACCGACCCTGCAGTATGGAGGCTGGTGCCGTGCGATGACCACAACAACACTTTGGCGTTGATGGTGATTTATGTGGATGATGTGATGATGTTGGCGCCATCAAGGACATTTATAAGTGGCTCACTGAGGGCGTTGAGGGTGACAAAGGCTGGAAGTGTTCGCCGATGGAGTGGATTGGAAGGACACCCGTTCGCTACCTAGGCATGGACATTCGCCGGAAGAATGCAGCCCTCACCACTTTCCATGTGTCACAGGGCAGCTATGTGGGCGAGCTTCTGAAGAGCTACCCAGCCGAGGCGGGCCGACCTTCACAGGTTCCCGCTACCAAGGACACAATGCCGTTGCAGGACGACCTGGATGAGGAGGAGGGAGTCGAGCAAGGAGATCCGGACCCTGGACAGGTCAAACAGGCCCAACGCATAGCAGGCGAACTGCTTTGGCTAGTGACTCGCACTAGACCGGATATTGGGTACGCGACGGCCCATGTATGTGGTGCAGCCTTGAAGAGTCCTGCAGCTGCACTTCGGCTAGGGAAAATGGTGATGAGGTATTTGGCCGCCACGCCTACGTGGGGGTTGACCTACAATGGAGTGGGAGAACCCGTGGAAGCTTTCTCCGACGCTAGCTTTGCTCCACAAGGTGATCGAAGCTTTGGCTGCGTGACTACGACGACCTACGGTGGATTCGCGGCATGGCGAATGACAAAGCAGCCTACAGTTGTATTGTCAGCCGCTGAAGCAGAGTTGGTGGAGTTGGTGAATGCCAGCCAGCAGGCTGCAGGACTACAAGCTTGGGTGGAGGAAGCGTCACCAGAGGACTCTGGCAAGCCGCTGATCTTGCGGGTGGACAACACAGCAGCGTGTGGTCTGGCGGTCGCCGCACCTGGCTCGTGGAAGACACGGCACCTGAAGGTAAAGGCACGTCATTTGAGGTTTGAGACCAATGAGGGCCGCATCAGGGTCGTTCACACCCCAGGTGAAGTACAAGCGGCGGACATGGGAACGAAGCCTGTGCCTGCTGCAAGACTGGTGGACCTTCGAAGGCTGTGGGGATGTGTTCTGCGGAGGACTTCGAGGCCGACGAGGAGGAGGTTATTATCCGGAGTCACGTGGCGGAGACTATTATGACATGCTGAGGATGATGGCGTGGGTGATGATGGTCTCGAGAATTCCTACAGCAGAGAGCACGGGGATTTACAACAAGAAGCCACTGGACTATGATGGCAGTGTGGAGTTTTACGTCCTTGTGCTGATCGGAGGCATAGCTCTGCTTGCGGTGTGGGAGGCTTTGAAGTGGTTGGCCCAGAAGTGCTTCGGGGAGGACGAAACTACCGTAGCCAAGGCCAGGCGGCTCATGAGGATTCGCAATCAGGCCACCAAGGCACTGCAGCAGGAGTTGGAGTCGATGAGTGCAAGTTCTTCTGACCCTATTGGGTTGGAGAAGCCGTTGGCAACCACGTCAAAGGAGATGGATCGGTCGGCCTCCGAGTTGCCTACAAGGCCCTTGAGCGCTACAATGGGACCGACGACGGCAACTACAAGAGCTGATGATGATCCAGATTTAAGGGCGGCTTTGACAACGGCGAGGAGCGGGGACTTTCAGAGACTACGGACGAACTTTGTGATGTCAGAGTATGGCGACCGGTTGCATGTGGTGCCGGACTGTCATGGATTGAGGCATGCAAACAAGCTGAAGTTGAAAAGGCTGCAAGTGTGCCACTATTGTGATGGTCGACATCCCCTCTCCTACCGCGTTCTTGAAGGCCGAGTGATTCCGGAGGGCTGAAGTGCATCGGAGGTGCATTTGATAGCGTGCCGCTCTCAAAGGAGGAGGAGTGTTGATGCACAGTTACCAGCCCCAAGGAGTTTAGAAGCCCTTGAGTTTAGAGCAGCACTGTATAGCAAGCTGTTGCTGATGTCGCATGTATGGCTTAAGGGTGGGCTACGGAGATGCCCCTTGGGTCATGCAAGCAGCACTTTAACACCTCACCTTGTACACCCAAGAGGTTGTTAAAAGTTGCACAGAAGTCTTTCGCTGAGGGTGAAAAAGAATAGGTCCGCCGTGCATTTTGCCATGGACCCGAGCGTGGAGTCAAGCCACAACGATGCTCTACCGGAAGTAAGCCCAGCAGATGTGCATCAGCAGGGTATGAGCCCAAATACCGCAGGTGCAGCTGCCGCGATTGATGCGCACCCAAGTGCTGGAGACACCTTAGTGGTGGCTGGCGACCGGGGAGCAGAGCAAGATGTGGCAGTAAGGACGATGGCTGTGGCAGTGGCCACGGATCAGAGCCCTGGAAATTCGATGTGGACATCAGTGGATGCTGGTTTTGCGGGGCGAGTGGAAGCTTCACAAGCCAGGCTGGCTGATATTCCTGGACAGTACAATCAGATGAATGCTGCCCAGGCGTCGTGGAGTGTGATGGCTACAAGGCGAACGGCCCCGGCATGGATTCAGCGCTTGGGAGCTTTCTTTCAGGAGATGAGGGGACAGCAACAGAATCCCTGGCAGCCCTCACCGATGGGGTCGCCACCACAAAGGACGAGCCGCGCCGCTGGATCACCCATCAGCTTCGCCGTATGGAGCAGCGAGCACCTCATTTGTACGGCCAAGCGATTCGCGACAGGCAAGAGGGAAGCTCAGGAGGTAGCACCTATGAGGCCGCGCAAGAGGAGGTGAAAAGGCAACTGCGGGGAGTGGTTGGCCAGCTGGAGGCGTCTCGGCGGGAAGCTCAGGATCTACGCCAAGAGCTGGAGTATCTGAGGGAGAAGGGGCAGTCAGCGATGGCTGACCCGCAACAAGGCCTTACAGCACCTACAGGTCCGCCCACGACGTTGGGTGGGCACTTAGCTTCGAGTATGCCAACGGCGTCGGGCTTACAAGCAGCTTCGGATATGCCAACGATGTCGGGCGTACAAGCTTCGGGTATGCCAACGATGTCGGGCGTACAAGCTTTGCGTATGCCAACGGTGTCGGGCTGGCAAGCAGCCACGAGTACGCTAACGGTGTCGGGCGTACAAGCTATGAGTATGCCTTCGGTGTCGGGCGTACAAGCAGCTATGAGTAGGCCTTCGGTGTCGGGCGTACAAGCAGCAGCCACGGGTATGCCTTCGGTGTCGAGCGTACAAGCAACCACGAGTATGCCTTCGGGATCGGGCTTACCAGCAACCTCTGGGGCACCGACGAGGCCTGCGTATGCAAATCCAGGGGAGCAAGAGACCCGAGTGTTCACGTGACAACAGGAACGGGAGCCAGCAGCGGTGCCTTAGATCCTATGTCAAGGCTCTTGGAGGGCTTGGAGAAGGTGATAAAGGGAGGAAAGCCAGAGGAGCTGAGCAAAGCTGCCGAGGCCCCAAAGTTGCCTGAGCTCTCGGACTCGTCGTCAGTGGACTTTGGGGATTGGTTGTACCTGATGGACCATGTCATGAGCGACCTTTCAGCCTCGAGCGCGGAGTGGTGGCGCATCTTGTCTCAGGACGCCCAGGAGTTCTATGAGAAGTACCAGGCGGCAGACCAGTTCACACAAGGTTGTCGATGAGGCCAGTTCCTTCACCAGAGCTGGGGGATCAAAGATGGAGCAGGCTGGATAGGCGTGGGGCTGCTACACTCTTGGCGGCGACACCAGAGGATGTGAAAAGAGAACTGGTTGCAGCGAGAACGAAGAGCACGTTAGAGGTTTTGGCTCGGCTCATGGTGATCTACCGTCCTGGGAGTGCCCAGGAGAAAGGTCAGCTGCTACGGAAGATCGAGAGCCCGGACCCCTCGAACACGAGTCATGAGGCGGTGGAGGGTCTAAGGCAGTGGCTGAGGCATTACCGACGAGCTCGAGATCTAAAGCTTACAACGCCAGATCCTTCGGTGATGCTTCGTGGTCTTGATGTTTTGGTGAAACCCTACCGCACACAAACCTAGCAGGACACTGGAAACACGGTGTTTGGATGCACAATGCACATGCCGCACACACACAGCAGCAGTGGTGCCGGGGATCTACCCCTCCATCGAAGAAGTGCACTCGGGCACACAATGGCTCAACTGCCACAGGCCATCCGATCCATCCAATAGCGGCGGCAGCCCAAACAGGGCGGGCGGGCGGGTGCAACAAAAGATCGAGAAGACAAGACACTGCAGCAGCCAGGCAAAGCTGCAGACTCATGCAAGGCGAAAGTCGATGACGGTTCATGTGCTAGTCAGGGTTTGTGGCACGCGCTGGCCTAAGGCCCAACCCACCCCAGCGCGACCCGACCGGAAGCCAGTTCAGGATGCTCCAGAAGTCGCGTTCCGCATGAACCTTCTAAGGTACCACCTCAAGGTCGACTTCAACCCGTCGGAGGAGTCTGTGTTGCTGGCAGAGTTCGAACAGCTGGGGTTCAGAAAGAAGGCGCGGACTACGCAGGACAGCAACGCGCAGGGACCCAAGGTGAGGGCGGTGGATGCTGGGAATGTGTCAAATGCGGGACCTTCAATGCCAACCTTGCCGACTACAAATCCGAAGGGAGCATCCAGACCCTGTCGGTTCTACACAACAGATGAGGGATGCCGGAGGGGGAAAGCTTGCAAGTACGAGCACACCATGAAGGACCTCAGCAAGGCGGAGCGCCGGGATCGATGCTATGAGTGCGGAGCTAAGGGTCACCAAGCGGCGGCCTGCCCAACGAAGAAGGAGGTGCAGCAGAAGGCGGTTACGGCAAGCGATTCGCCGGCTTCGTTAACTGGTGGCACAGGTGGGCGAAAGGGAGCTGCAGCTACGAGGGGTCAGAGAGGATCGGAGGTGGGAGAAGGAACTCAACAGACTACAACCTCTACTCCCACGACGACTTCTTCAATGCCAGCCGAGGCCCCGGTGCAAGGTGTCCCGGTCGAGCAGCTCATCGAGGACGCCCAGAAGTTGATGAAGGCGTTTATGGAGCAGAAGGCCACACCACACGTGCAAGTGTTCCGAGTGGAAGAGGCGAAGAGAGACTGTGGGTCTTCGCCAGCACTTCGGGAGTTTCTGCCGGAGAACCAGGAGCTGGTGAATCTGAGTCGAATGGGGCTCTTGGATTCGGGAGCCACCCACCCACTCAGGGCCAGAACGACCAAGGACAGTCTGGGCACAATGGACAATGTCGATGTGACGTTGGCGGGTGGCTCAGAACAAGGCTGGCACCATATTAGGGGGCCAGAACACACAGCCGATAGTCCCGCTGGGAACACTCGTGAAGGCGCTCGGCTACGAGTTCAGTTGGGATCGTCATGGATGTCGGCTTCGTCACCCGGACAAGAAGGAAGTGCGGGTATACACAAGATCTACCTGCCCAGAGGTCATGCAGTGCGACGCTCTTCGCTTGATCGCTGAGTTGGAGGAGGCGAAGCTCACAGAGACGATTCGATGAGCTCGTTGGCGCAGCTGAAGGCCTCTGTGATGGCGGCGAAAGAGTATAAAGAGAAAGGTTGGAGGGACCAAGTGGGCGACTACATGGTTTCTGGGAGCTACGAGGATGGGTTGAAGGCTGTGATGTGCGCGCCGTTCATGCATCATGTGCCAATGAGGGACCAGTTGCAAGTTGTGGTGCCCATGCCTAAGGACGAGAACGAGGCATGGCAGTGGATGAAGAAGTTCCCCATGAATAGAGCCAATCGGCGACGGCTATGGCAAACCCAAGATTGGACTCTTCATCTGTTCGCGGGCGCAGGGGTGAAGAATGATCCTCTACGTGATCTCCCTGGACTTGTCGAGGTGGACATGAAAAGGGGTTGGGACCTCAACGATGACAAGGTTTATGGGGTACTGCTATGGATGGCAAAGCAGGGACGGGTGAATCACGTCGTGGGTGGTCCACCAGCTGGGACGTTCTCACCGTGGCATTACAAGGACGGGACCAACCAGAAGAGCATAATACCTCCATCTGCGACACAAACCCCTCCAGCTGGCGTCCCTGGCGTCCCCGGCGTCCCTGGCGTCCCGTCCTGGGCGTCCCCAGCGTCCCTGGCGTCCCGGCGTCCTGGCGTCCAGTTCCCGGCGTCCCCAGCGTCCTTGGCGTCCCCGGCGTCCCTGCCTTCCAGTCCCGGCGTCCCCAGCGTCGCTGGCGTCCCCGGCGTCCCTGGCGTCCCTGGCGTCCTGCCCCCGGCGTCCCCGGCGTCCCTGGCGTCCCTGGCGTCCCTCGTGTCCCGCGTCCCTAGCGCCCCCAGTAGCACTAGTAGTAGTACTGGTAGTCGTACTAGTAGGAATAGTGGTGGTAGTAGTAGTAGTAGTAGTAGTAGTAGTAGTTATATAATTATTTTGTTTATCTAAATATAATTATATAAACGAAAGGCAACTACAACAGCGAGATTTGAATTAGCTAATCCTTATAAAAAATACGGATTGAAAAGAAAACCTACCTTTAGTGAAATGTTAGGTTTATTAAGTGAAGACCAAAAACTATTAAGACCCTTCCCAGATGGAACAGCAACTCAATTTAGAAACTCACCGCGAGGTAGTTTCTTTGATGGAAGCGATCATGTTGAATTATTAAAAGAACAACAGAACAGAGTGTTAGACAGACAGATGAGAGAAATGATTTTAAGA